TTAAGACCATGCTTAAATCCGAAGGAATGGGGGACAGGTCTCAGATCTCTCGAACTCCACTATTCATGCACAGGAGATCGCCAAGATCTAGCTAACCCTCTCTGAAATTCATGGCTATGCACTCGAGAAACCGGCAGCACCTCGCCCTCTTGATCTTCTCGCCACTCAAAAATGAACACTCGAGCTCTCATTTATAAGCTTGGTTGATGGGTTTTTTCGGATCAAAATGAGGGATCCCCTCTATCTTCAGTTAACAACTGCATAACCACTGTATCAGATCAGTTGGAACGCCCAAATCCTGAAAGAATCCATAAAAGAACCAAAAAAACTGATTCTGGCCAATTCACCGAAGTGGCTCGGCCTGGCCAAACTACCAAATGGTGGCTCGGTCTCGGCCAAACCACCAAATGGTGGCTCGATCAAAATGGTGGTTTGGCCTGTGGCCGAACCACTGGTCTGACCGGATCATTTCGACGTGTCCCGGTCGCCAGAGGCTTTCGTGGTTTTCTAGAGTTCGGCTCGTTCCGTCGTTACGTGTATTTCGTCGTTTCATTGATTTGTATACTATTTTGGTGGCCGATGAGCGTGCGGGCCACTTGGTTTGCCGATTTGGTGGCTGGTGAGTACACGGGCCACTTGGAGGTGGCCGATGAGCACGTAGGCCACTTGGTTCACCGATTTGGTGGCTGGTGAGTACACGGGCCACTTGGAGGTGGCCGGTGAGTGCATAGGCTATTCGGTTTGCCGTTTCGCTTTATGTGTTCACCGGGATTGGATAATCCTCTTAGACCTAGATAATGACGTTCATCACCTTCTCTCTGTCTCGAGCTGTGTGTGGATACCTATAGGCATTTTTAGATGCCTACAACATCTTATCCACTCGTCGGTCGACACCTGTAAAGTTGAAGCTGACTTGGTCGCCAGCCTATGCCCGGTCGAAGATATCATTCTACCCTCCTTCCAATACTATAAAAGGATATACTATTTTCCATTACAGGGTAAGCTTTTTCCACCATTCTCTAAACTTAAGAACTACCGTAGTTCCTTTTGCTTCTCCACACAAGCAACTCATTGGCTTGATCGTCGAAGGAACAACCGGAGAATCACACCCCGCCCTCTTACGATTTGTTACCCGTGGAGGGAAGTACATCGTGCCCAAAGATCATACATTCGGAGAGTTAGAGAACATCCGTCAACTTAACCTACTTTCATTTGACTGTGTGATTCTATACATTAACAACAATGCTTGTCCTGTAAGCTTCTTCCTACTCTTTAGTTGTCAACCATTTCTAATTAGATCAAATGTTTATTAATTAGTTTTGGATGGAGAGAGCTTTAATTCGAAAGTTTAATTTTGACTTAATAGCTTCAGTTGATAACCAATTATAATTAGTATAATAATGTTAATATCAAAAATGATTATGTGTACAAACTGAGTAAGGAAAGTTTTTCCAGAACTCCCACTTTTAAAGGGATTATGATTGTGGTTAGGGATGTCCAAAAAACCCACGGCCCGGGCCCGGGGTCGGCCCGGAAACCCGGGCCAAACCTGGGCCCGAGTCGGCGCAAAGTCGCCCGGCCCGGAACCGGACCCGGCCCGGAACAATGCCAGGTCCGGCGCCGGTCCTGGCCCGGCGCGGCAGGCACAACGATCAGCCCTAGGGTGAACGGCTTGATAGGAAAAAAACCGGGGCGGGCTGGGCTGTGGCCTGGCCCGCACCCAACGGTCACAATTGTGTACTGGTTGGCGAAAATGAGCCGGTCCGGGCCAGGCTTGACGCCCGACCCGCCCGACGCAACTAGTCTTAATTTGTGACCGTTGGCCGGATATGACCGGGCTGGGCCGGCCGGCCAAAATGATCAAAAATCTGACCGTTTTGGGCCGGCCCGACCAAATGGTCATATTTGACCGATTTACCCCTTAAACGGTAAAAAACGACTAGAATATGAGGGTTTTTTGGTTATTTACCTAGGGGGCTGCCTCTATAAATAGAAGGGGTTTTTACTTCTTCTCCTCACACCAAAACTCTTCTACTTCTCTCTAATACTCTCTTATACAATATTATACTCTCTTATAATCTCTTATATTTTCTAATACTTCTATCAAATGGCTTAAGGATCTGATTATGAAGAGCAACACCTATCTCCTACCGATCCAGAAATGAGTCATCCTACAACAACTCCTCCTCCTCCTACTGGTGTTAATCCTGAATCTGATGGCAACGAATCTACTGCACCAAGAGCTCCTAAAAGGCCGAGATCTGATGTGTGGAATTTTTTTGAGAAGATAGACGTCACCAAGGATGAACACGGTAGAATCATCTCCCAGAAGGCAAAATGTGCGTTGTGCGGCCAAGTTTTCTAAGCTCATCATAAGAGCGGTACCAACTATCTCAAACGCCATATAAAAAACACAACAAAGGTCAAAATCTTCAAGATGATATCCGACAGTCTATGATTTGCCAATCCTCCTCTTCTGGTACCCTCGGTAGTTGGAATTATGACGCTGCCCGAGCTAGAAAATGCGTAATTAGGTTTATTGTTCTTAAAAACCTGTCTTTTAAATTAGTAGAAAATGATAAATTTGAAGATTTGTTTAGAGATGGTTTTTATCATGCATTTACAAAATTTTCTCGTCAAACCTGTCAACGTGATATTTTAAAATATTATCAGGAGGAACAATGAAAAATAATTTTTTATTTTAAAAATTTAAACTGTAAATTTTCTGTAACTTCTGATATTTGGACATCTAGAGTACAAACTGGTTATTTATGTATCACAACACACTAAATTGATGAAAATTATCAAATGTTTAAAAGAGTTATTTCTTTTATTGCAATTGAAGAGTCACATACTGGTATTAATATTGCAAATTTAATAATTGAAGAACTTATGAAACTAGAAATTGATCAAGGAATATTTTTTCTTTCACTAGATAATACAAGTAATAACAATGTAGCTGTTGATTTTATTAAAACAATTTTGTCATTGCCATGTCACGGTGACCTTTTTCATGTTAGTTGTATCTGCCATATTTTAAATTTAATTGTTCAGAGTGCATTTTTTGAAATTAAACCCATGATAGAAAAGGTTAGAACAGTTACTAATATGCATAATGCTTCTGAAATGAGAATTAAAAGATGAAAACAATGTTATAAAAAAATTTATAAGCCTAGACTAATTCTAAAAGATGTTGACCATAGGTGGAATTCCACATATGCAATGTTAAGTGTAGAAATAGAATATAAAGAAATTATAAATGATTAAATTTTTATGCTTCTAGTTCTAGCTCTGGTAGCACTTATGGAATAAGTAAAGATGGATGTACAATTATATGTAAATTAAATGAGATGTTACAAGTTTTTTATGATGCTACTATGTTATTATTTGGTTGTTATTATCCAACTATTACTTTAGCTGCTTCACAAATATTAAATATTCAAAAAAATTTGACAAATATCGTATGGATGATATTTTTAAAAATATAATTTTTCAAATGGAGAGCAAATTTAATAAGTATTTTATGCCTATTTCTCATATTTTTGGTTTGGGGGTTCTTATTGATCCATGTTTGAAGGATATTGGTCTTCGAATTTTGTTACAGTCATTGTATGGTGGACATATTATAGACTTAGATGATGGTTCCACCCTTACTGCTATTTCTCATCATTTATCTATTAGAAATTATTTTCAAATATTATATGATGAGTATGCAGCTAGACATGGTGTAGCTGCACAACAGTCTACAGCTTCAGCGCCTTCGGCTTCGAGCACAGGTCGAAGTAAAAGTGTAAGTTTTGATAGGTATGCAATGGTAGCTAAACTAACTGGTGGATCTGGAATTGGTTCATGATTAGAGGTTTCTGAATTAGATGAATATTTTTCTGCTTCCTTAATTAAATATCAAGGAAATGCTTTAGATATTTTATAATGGTGGAGAGTATATGGATCAGTTTCATATCCTATACTTTCCACCATGGTTCGTGACTTACTATCAGTGCAGGTTTCGATGATAGCTTCGGAATCCGCCTTCAGTACAGCAGGACGTTTGATCGACGACCACAGGACATGCTTAGATCTGTATCCTGTACAAGCGGTGATGTGCTTACAAGATTGGTGGAGGTACGAGAAGCGAACACAAGGCATCGATCAGATTGCTATAATTAAAGATAAATTTGAAGAGTTGAGACTAACAGATAGATATAAAGATTAGATAATATTCATCAAATTGTAATTTTTATTTCTTACCTTTAAATTTGTAATGAATTATTTCAAAAAACGTTGCAAATGATAGTGATATGGGTAAGTAAGTGCTAACCTAATTGGGATTTACTCATCTATTGTGATGCGACAAATTTCGAAATAAATTTATAATTGTAAAGGATTTACTGATTATTAATAAAGAAATTATTTTTATCATTTTTTATTTTTATAATTTTTTGTACTTATAATTTATGTCATTTCAAGTTATTAAAAAAATTTATGTTATTTTCTGTAATTTTTATGTATATTTTATAATTTATTGTTTTTTTTAAATTAAAAAAAAATAAAAAATAGGAAAAAACCGGGCCGGCCCGAAGCCCGGCCCTCTCAGGCCCGGGCCCGGACCCGACCAGGGTCCGGGCTTCGGTTTTGCCCGACCCGGGCCCGGTTTCCTGAGCCGGGCCGGATGGACACCCCTAATTGTGGTGCTTTAGTTCAAGCATACACTAACGTTATCCCCCTGGTTCACATTTATTTAACTCTTCCTTCAAGGTAAATAACAATTATTTACCAAACAATATGTGATGGTGATTAATAGTAGTGTTTCCCCATGATTTTTCCAACAGTGGACGCTATAAATCCAAACTCATCTGTCACCCGATCTTAAAAGAGCACAGTATCTTTGAGCCGGTCAATCACATGCTATCATTAATCACAACATTTATGAACGCCATCTTCCACTGTACAAAGTTATAATTGGTGTATTTTTGTCACTCAATAATCCCTTTAAAGCCTCCCATACTGCCTCCAAACTCCACACGTTTCCAAACCCCTATAATATCTCCTTGTTCTTCACCGAGTCTCCAAATTGGTACGCCCTTTGTTTCTCGTCTCCCCTTTTTTTCTCAATCAAGTTGTTTTGAGCCATGCCTAGCTATGCAAAGCATGGCTGCATCATGCCACTACTCCTCGCTCTCATGATCATTTTTATAACCAAACATATCCAATATGATGAGATTATGTATTCTTGGAGCCACATTGTGGTGTGCTGCTTCCTTGCTGCTTCTGTCGCTGCTATATACTTTACGCGCTGGCCTCGTCCGGTGTACATGATAGATTTCTCGTGCTACAAGCCCGAGGAATCCTGCAAGTACACCCGCGAGGCCTTTGTGGAACGGAGCATAGTGCTCGGCATGTTCACCGATGCCAACGTGCAGTTCCAAAAGAAAATACTGGAGCGGTCAGGGGTCGGGCAGTCTACGTACTTCCCGCCAGCGGTGGCGACGATCCCACCGGATCTTCGGATATCGGAGGCGAGGAAGGAGGGGGAGATGGTGATGTTTGGGGCTGTGGATCAGTTGCTCGCAAAGACTGGGATTGAGACTAAGGCTATTGACATACTGATTGTCAATTGTAGCTTGTTCAGTCCCACACCGTCTCTCGCTGAGATGATCTTGAATAGGTATAAGCTTAGAGAGGATGTCATTTGCCATAATCTTAGTGGCATGGGATGCAGTGCTGGGCTCATCTCCGTTGAGCTAGCTAAACAACTTCTTAAGGTCAGTCACGCTAAACTTTTATTTGATTTGATTTTTCTTAGAATAGATTCATTATTCTATGATGGGTGTTGCTACAGGGACCCAAATAAGGGACCCAAGGCATGAGACAGGTGATGTGTCACCATCCTGTTACATGATGCACTGTTCATGAACGGTGCATCATGCAGCCGGATGGTGACACCTCATATGTCCCATGCCTTGGGTCCCTTATTTGGGTCCCTGTAGCAACACCCATCATAGAATAATGAATCTATTCTAAGAAAAATCAAATCAAATAAAAGTTTAGCGTGACTGACCTTAAGAAGTTGTTTAGCTAGCTCAACGGAGATGAGCCCAGCACTGCATCCCATGCCACTAAGATTATGGCAAATGACATCCTCTCTAAGCTTATACCTATTCAAGATCATCTCAGCGAGAGACGGTGTGGGACTGAACAAGCTACAATTGACAATCAGTATGTCAATAGCCTTAGTCTCAATCCCAGTCTTTGCGAGCAACTGATCCACAGCCCCAAACATCACCATCTCCCCCTCCTTCCTCGCCTCCGATATCCGAAGATCCGGTGGGATCGTCGCCACCGCTGGCGGGAAGTACGTAGACTGCCCGACCCCTGACCGCTCCAGTATTTTCTTTTGGAACTGCACGTTGGCATCGGTGAACATGCCGAGCACTATGCTCCGTTCCACAAAGGCCTCGCGGGTGTACTTGCAGGATTCCTCGGGCTTGTAGCACGAGAAATCTATCATGTACACCGGACGAGGCCAGCTCTTCAAATTTATCTTTAATTATTAGCAATTCTTGATCGATGCCATTGTGTTCGCTTCTGCTAACTCCACACAATCTTGTAAGAGCATCACGCGCTTGTACAGGATACAGATCTAAGCAATGTCCGTGTGGTCGTCGATCAAACGTCCTGCTGTAC